GATATTATATACTATAGCAATACGCTTTCATGTACGCATATCAAAACACATGCACCTTACGGACTCACATGCAACACCAACCTACAACACCAACCACATCCCACACCTAAACATGCGATGCCTATAGGTGCTTTCTCGGCGCATAAACCGCCGCCGACTGGGTATGAGTACAGGCCCACTTATAGCCATGGTATCGCCCAGTCGATCAACAGTGTCAGCGATAGGCGCATTAGAGCTCTGGTCTAACACTTCCTCCGACACTTCCCACATGTCATCACTAGACGTTGTGGGTTCGGTGGTGCGACCTGTCGTAATACGTGTGGTGGCATATAACCCATCCATTAGTATCTCGTCGGAATGATGGCGTATGATACTTACAATAATAGCATAAAGTATTCAATAGTAATTCGTAGAAATGAGATGTTAAATGTGTTTTCAATCTATTCATGATGTTAGCAGGATGTGTATTACATCTCTAGTCTAATACCTCCTCCGTACCTTCAACATATGATCATTGGACGCCTCTACGGACACATCCTCTTAAGTTGTATATGTATATGTATAAGTATATGTATGTGTATATGTATATCATTTGTATATGATGTATCGTGCCAACAGAATATGCGGATTATTTTACACCGAAGCATGCCTAGACATGCTGGCGGGACATGTCACGTACCTTCCGGTATAGTGGTGATCTCTTTGAGACTTCAGACGTACATGATACAAAACTAATCCATAACTATCCCATGTAGCATGAGCAGAACGTGTATAGTAGATATATAACTTACTCAGACGCTTTCATTTCTTATAGATAATCGACCAGAGCGTGTAATAAAATCAATACATACCTTGTGATGTGGAGTCGACCTCAGCCGCCTGTTTCCCATCCGTCTCCGCTTTGGCTGAGCAGGTGCCTGAACAATGTGACTTTGAAGCACTGGACAAAACTCTCACAGGTCTTAATCTCGCCACGCATTCCGCCAGGTTCTTCTGCAGCTTGTCCAGCACCTCAGATACAGCCCTCGGTACATCCTCCTCCCGTATGAGCCTGAGACTCTCCTCTACTACAGCCTCTACGAACGCTTCGCACGTGCTGAAGGACCGGTCCAGCACACTCTGCTCCAGGTGCTCCAGTATCTGCAGCAGCTTATCATAAAACGAATCATGTGTGCGCAACACCTCCTCCGCCGCCATCACCTCGCCTTTCAGGGCCATCAGCAACGTGCACTGGCGTGAAAAGATCGTATCCTCGTAATCGCAAATATCCCTGCACACAACTGCCTGCTCCTCCCCATCCGCATCACTATCACTATCCAGACCAGTGTTCGTTCCAATTCCCTCTGCCCCGCCCTGAGCCCCAGTCGCCTCCACCGCCGGAGTTTCCCTATCTGTATCTACATCTGTAACCGCTATGCCACCGACGCCCGTATCCTCCTCCGTCTTCCCAGTCTTCTGCACGCCTGTCGACTCGCTTGTCCCTGCCTTGCTTATTCCTACCTTCTCCCTCGTACTACCACTGGCCGGCTCACTGTTCCCCGAGCCCTTCAGGCCAATACTGTCATGCTCTGCGCGTTTCCGCCGCCTCCGTCTTCGGAAGTGATGCGGCTGCGTCAGCAACTCCAGACTGGGTATCGGTCCGAGTGTGTCCGTACTCAAGCCGGTATTCCTTTCCACACCCATCCCTTGCGCGTGCATTCTCGCAGCGCTTCCCCCACCCTCACCCACAACACTGTCAATGCCCGTGCCTGCACCAGCACCCGATTCAGGGACCGTACTCGAACCCGCAACCGAGCCCGTAAGTGTACGAGCTTCGGAACCCACGATAGGATTTCCACCGCCATGTATGTTCAGCGTGCCGTCACTTGCGTCCAAGGACACTGCAGCGGGCATTGGCGCGGGTGTGGGTTGAGTAGTTGATGTCGTCGCGTTTGCCGTAGAGACACCGTGGGTGTTGTCCCGAGCTTCGGGTAGTTGCGTAAGCCAGTACGCCTGGTCTGCACATTCCCAGTCGTCCCTATCGTTGCCAAGCAACACATACTCGTCATCCACACGCGTTATGTCGCTCAAACGTACCCAGGGCGAAGCGCTAATGAGGGATCTGTTTCGGTGTGATCCGCAGATGATACGTTAATTGAGGCATACAAACAATACGACTTGTTTCTGCTTCAGATATGTCAAAATATACTTGCCATATCGTAAAAGAAAGAAAAAAGCGATAACCATTTCAAAGACAAATTGTGTACCTACACGACTGGAAAACGATGCATAAGACGAATTAAAAAGTGTGATAAAGTCAACGTAGCCAAAGAAAGCGATAGAATACAGCGACGTAAAAAAGGTCTAGGGCATTTACAAGAATCTGCCATGTTGCGCAACTAATTTCAACATGAATAATTACCCCTTCGTCCAATGCTCATATACAAGTGCCCTGAGTCGCGCACTGATTGCTCTTCTCGACTTTTGCGTATCAACTGTATCCAGCTGTGTTGGTGACAAATAGGCCACAAGCAAAACTTAGGGGTTGCTATCAGAATGTGTGACTTTTGGAATATAAACACTACTGTATGTTTATATAAATACACACACACATATATAT